GAATTGTTGTGAGATCGACGTTAAGCAAGGTGTTTTGAAATGTGGACAAGAGGAACTTTTCGTGGAAGGGGCGTTACCAGGGAATGTGTACAGCCTTAAGAAGATTGTTCTTCCGCCGAGATCGGAAACGATTATGCCGGTTAGTCTTCCTCGGAGTCCTGGGCAAGCTAATCGTTGTGTACTCGTGGAAAGGGTAGACAATGACCTTCCATGGAAAGTGGCTCGAACCTTGGTCAGAACCACCGACATCTCAGGAGTACGTGTGTTGAACCTTTGTGATCAGGAACAGATTGTAGAAAAAGGCACATTGGTTGGTACTAGTGAGGAAGTGGATTGGTTGCGTCGGTGCAAATATCTATCGACCGGGACCCCCAGCAAGGATGGACAAACGAGAGTGACCACACTTTTAGAAGACTGTCGCAGCGTTTTTTCCCCGAATGAAATGGTCAAGGCAAAGAAGTTGTTACTCAAGTACGCCAATGTTTTCTCGTCAAACGAAGCTGACATAAGAAAGACTGGCTTAGTTCAACACAAAATAAACACAGGACAAGAATTGCCTATTCGTCAGCGGCCAAGAAGATTGCCTGTAGCACGTGAAAAGGAAGTGGAAACTATGATTGAGGGAATGGTGAAGGATGGTGTTATTGAACCTTCATCTAGTCCATGGTGTTCACCTGTGGTGCTGGTAAAGAAGAAGGACGGCAGCATGCGGTTTTGTGTTGACTACCGCCGCCTGATCGACGTTACAAAGAAGAACAACTATCCCTTGCCAAGAATTGGTGACACGCTGGACATGCTTACAGGCGTAAAGTGGTTTAGTACGCTGGATCTGAAAAGTGGCTACTGGCAGGTTGAAATTGACCCTAAGGATAAGGAGAAAACTGCATTCTCCACAGGAAAGGGTCTGTGGCAATTTAAAGTCATGCCATTTGGATTGTGCAATGCTCCAGCAACGTTTGAAAGGTTGATGGAGCTTGTACTTACCGGGCTAATTGGAGATGTCTGTCTGGTCTATTTGGATGACATCATCATCGTAGGCCGTACGTTTGAGGAACACCTTCAAAACCTGGAACACGTGCTCATGAAGATCCAGAGTGCCAACCTCAAGTTGAGTCCAAAGAAGTGCTCACTATTCAAACGGCAAGTTAGTTTTTTGGGGTATGTAGTGTCGGAAGAAGGTATCCGCACGGATCCAGAGAAAATTGCTGCTATCAAGGAGTGGCCGGTCCCAAAAAACAAGACACAGGTTAGAGCATTTTTAGGTTTGTGCTCTTATTATCGGCGATTTTTGAAGAACTTTGCAGATATAGCCAAACCTCTGCACAAGCTAACCGAGGAGAAGCGACATTTCTGCTGGGATGAAAGTTGTGATATTGTATTCCAGGAGCTCAAGAACCGTCTGTGCAAAACACCTGTTTTGGGGTACCCTGATGCGGGCAAGGAATTCATAGTTGACACAGACGCAAGTGATATAGGACTTGGCGGTCTGTTGTCTCAACGGAATGGTGATCAAGAGATTGTGATAGCGTACTTCAGCAAGTCGTTGTCAAAGCCGGAAAGGAACTATTGTGTCACAAGACGGGAATTGCTTGCTGTGGTAAAGTCCTTGCAGCATTTTAGCAAATATCTTCTAGGGCGGAAATTCCACTTACGAACTGACCATGCTGCACTGAAATGGCTATTGCAGTTCAAAAATCCGGAAGGACAAGTTGCGAGATGGATAGAACTACTGCAGGAATACGACTTTGTGATCGAACATCGCAGCGGGAAATCTCATGGCAATGCAGATGCATTGTCAAGAAGACCTTGCCCTGAAGATTGCAAGCATTGTACTAGGCAAGAGGGTAAGGAAGTGGTATCTGTGAGAATGCTCAGGACAGACCAGCTCAGCAATGAGTGGAAGGACAGCCTACAACATGCACAGCAGGAAGATTCGGACATTAAGCCGATTCTGGAATGGATGAAGGCCAGTGCTCCTAAGCCCAAGTGGAGCGACGTCTCAGCAATGAGTTCGACCACGAAAAGCTATTGGGCCCAATGGGACAGCTTGCTGATTCAGGATGGAGTCCTGTGCCGTAAATGGGAAAATGGTCGGGGAGACAGATGTCATTTGCAAATGGTTGTCCTTAAGGCTAAAGTACCGGATGTTCTACAGCTGTACCATAGTGGTTGTTCAGGAGTCCACCTGGGAGTTAAACAAACTCTACTGAAGATCCGAGAACGGTTTTACTGGGTCCACTGTCGTGACGATGTCGAGGACTGGTGCCGCAAATGTACAAGTTGTGCGGCTGTAAAGGGACCTCAAATTCGTAGTAGAGGCGCATTGAAATTGTACAATGTTGGTGCACCATGGGAGAGGATAGCCATTGACGTTTCGGGGCCGTTTCCGGAAAGTGAAAGTGGTAACAAGTATTTCATGGTTGTGATGGATTACTTCACTAAGTGGCCAGAAGTCTTCGCCATTCCAAATCAAGAAGCTTCAACAGTTGCAGATAAACTAGTTCATGAAGTCTTCTGTCGTTTTGGAGTACCCTTAGAGATTCACAGCGATCAAGGAAGGAATTTCGAGTCTCAAATATTCCAGGAAACTTGCAGAGGTATGGTTACTCATAAAACACGAACAACTTCTTACCACCCACAATGTGATGGAATGGTAGAACGATTTAATCAGACATTGGAAAGGTACCTGGCAAAAGTTGTGGAAAAACGGCAACGAGACTGGGACAGGAACATACAACCGTTTTTGTTGTCATATCGAAGCGCTGTTCACGAAAGTACATCAGTGACGCCAGCTTTCGCAAACTTTGGGAGAGAATTACGGCTGCCTGCAGACCTGATCACCGGAATACCACCTGATGCCCCACGCAGTATAACCGATTATGCAAATGACTTGCGGAACAAAATGAATGACATTTATGAGCACGTCAGACAGACGGGCCAGCAAACGTCTGAGAAGATGAAAACACGGTATGACCGCAAAATGAACAACAAGGGGTTTGATGAAGGTTCACTAGTGTGGTTACACAATCCAGTTCGCAGCAAAGGGAAATCTCCTAAGCTTCAAGCTAAATGGGACGGACCGTACCGGATTGTGATAAGGATCAATGACGTAACCTACCGGATACAGAAAGGTGTCAGAGGTACTCCTAAGATTGTCCATGTGGATCGACTGGCGCGTTATTATGGGGCCAATAATGCTCGGGACGAGCATGTCTTAGGAGGGGGCAGTGTTACGCGCCACTATTAATGTCTTGTACATGGCAACACTAGTTACACTAGCGCCCTCTAGTGTCGAGTAAAAGAAAGTGTTGCGCGCCACTATTAATGTCTTGTACATGGCAACACTAGATACACTAGCGCCCTCTAGTGTCGAGTAGCAGAACTAGGAGAGTCGAGATCCTTCCAGAAATTTCGGGATCGATATGTACTCGAACATTCTAAATGTCGCTACAGTGGAAGGTTCTGGAAACTGTCTGAGGCCCTATATAAAGCCGGTATGGACCACGACCAGGGCAGTATTGAATTGGCGATACAAGAGAATACTTCAAAGCGAAATAACGGCGAACTGTGTTTTATTATTAGTGTGATTTTAGATTGTAATTAGTGTTGTGTAATTAAAGTGTCAATTTTGGTAATTCAATCAGCAGTTTTTAATTGTCTCGAACCCCAAGCTCGTAACAGTACATTCGGGAAATTACGGCACATCTTCTCGTCAGGTATACCTGAAAATTTGAAAACAAGACTGTACAACCAGTGCGTGTTGCCAGTGATGACCTATGGTACTGAGACGTGGTCCTTCACTGCTGGCCGGATGAGGAAACTCAAGGTCGCTCAGCGAGCTATGGAGAGGGCTATACTCGGGGTTTCTCTGCGTGATAAACTTAGAAATGAGGATGTCCGCAGTAGAACCAAAGTGACCGACATAGCCCAACGGATAAGTAAGCTGAAGTGGCAATGGGCCGGCCATATAGCTCGAAGAACCGACAGCCGATGGGGAAAAAGATTCTCGAGTGGTGGTCCTTGTACCGGCGGACGAAGTGTAGGGCGTCCCCCCCACTAGATGGTGTGACGACCTGGTAACATATGCAGGAAGTCGATGGATGCAGGTGGCTCAGGACCGTGCTTTGAGGCCTATGTTTAGCAGTGGACTTGTGAAGGGCTGTAATGATGATGATGATGTATACATTAAATCTATTTGTTTGTTTGTGGTTTGTATTGAAGCCGGTACGCAAAGCATCGTTATATGTCTACAGAGATATATTGCCAGTACCCAGTAGCTCAAATGCAAACGTTTATGTTGTAGACAATACCCCGATAAAGAAGAAAGTGATGAAAACTATTGATATTCTTCGGAGAAGATTAAGATATGAAACAAAAAAAACTGAAAAATGTAAGGACACAAAAAAACGGGCTAATAAAAAATTGGAAAAGTTGTCTCAAGTGATAAAAATCATAGAAAGGCTTCCCTCACTTCAAAATAATATCATCGAAAGGGTAATAAAGAAAAAAAAAAGAAAAATATTAAACAAGTGTATAATTCGCAACTAAAGACATTTGCCCTAACTTTTATAGCCCTCGGGCTTACAATTACAGAAGACAAAAGTTACACACTCTGTATTGATTTTTTTAAATACCAAAACCACTCACAATTACTCAATATATCATCACTAAAGAATATTTGGCACGAATTGAACAAAAATTTTGAGTCAGCAGAAAATCTTCCTGATATGGTTTTTTTGTAAAATTCTTGACACATTACTAGTCCAATATTTTGGATTGAAAAGCGGCTGGCTCTTAATGGCAATAAAGGATAGAACAATTGAAAATTTAACTTACCAGCTACGAGGGCTGCACTAAAAGTATCGGGAATAGAATATTTCCACTGTTCCTGTCATATTAAAATCTTTTTAATTGAAAAGCCCTTGGTTTTAAAAATCGAATACCATTTATTTATTTAAGGTACCACAAGGTATTATCAAACTTGTTTAGTCGTTGAGAAAATGGAATTGACTCGAGAAAATTCAAGAACGATGATTTATTACGACTTTCGAAGTGGTTTAACACAAAAACAGTGTGTTGACCGGATGATTTCTGCATTTGGTGATAAAGCCCCATCCAAAACCACAATTTATCGCTGGTTTGCTGAATTTCAACGTGGACGTGTCAAGCTCAGTGATGATCCCCGTCAAGGTCGTCCAAAAACTGCAGTCACCCAAGAAAACGTTGATGCTGTCCGTAAGCTGATTGAGGAAGATCGACATGTGACATACCGCGAAATTCAGGCAAGTTTAGACATTGGCATGACTCAAATACAAATAATCTTGCATGAACAATTAGGTGTGAAAAAGTTGTTTTCCCGATGGATACCGCATTCAATCTGTGAAGAGCAAAAAGCGGCTAGCGTTACTTGGTGCGTCAGAACTCTCGAAAGATTCCACGCAGGATCCTCAAATGCTGTATACAACATCGTATCAGGTGACGAATCCTGGATATATGCGTACGAACCCGAAACAAAAAACCAGTCACGAGTTTGGGTGTTCGAAAATGAGTTAAAGCCAACAAAAATTGTTCGTTCACGCAGTGTTGCAAAAAAAATGGTGGCCACGTTTGTCTCCAAAACCGGCCATGTTACGACTATTCCTCTTGAGGGACAAAGAACGGTTAATGCAGAATGGTATGCTAGCATTTGTTTGCCACAGGTCGTTTCTGAACTCCGTAAAGAGAACTGCAACCGCCGCATCATCCTCCATCACGACAATGCGAGTTCTCACACCGCACACAGAACAAAAGAGTTTTTAGAGCAAGAAAACATAGAATTATTAGACCATCCGCCGTACAGCCCCGACCTACGCCCTAATGATTTCTATACTTTCCCTAAAATAAAATTGCGTGGACAGAGATTTTCATCACCTGAAGAAGCTGTGGACGCCTACAAAACGGCCATTTTGGAGACCCCAACTTCCGAATGGAATGGTTGCTTCAATGATTGGTTCCATTGTATGGAAAAATATGTAAAATTTCGCGGAGAATACTTCGAAAAGCAATAAATACATTTTTAAATGGTAATGTTGTATCACTTCCTTGATTCCCGAAATTTTCAATGCCGCCCTCGTATGTGCCGATGAGAAAGCTTTGTTTATCAGAGTAGATTGTGAAAATTGTACTGAAGCTATACGTAAATACCAGAAAGTAAAATTAGTGAGAAAGAATCGGACAAATTTTTTCAAATGTAATTACTGTGGTGAACAAGGACACAGAGTAATGAAATGCAAAAAGTGGATCAGTGAAGGAAGACCACCTAAACAAATAAGTGTGAATGTAAATCAAACTTTTATTGGTTTTATTGATGGACAATCTAATCGATAAGACTAATTGGTTGAGAATAATGGTGCTAGCTAGGTGAATATTTTAATAGTTCACACACCGTCACAGGGGCCAATAGACAAAGTATCGATGCTGAAGCTTATGTACAAGCTGGACTAGAAAATATTTTACTTAGGGATGTTTGGTACGTAACTTCGGTTGCATGAAATCTATTTTCTGTGCTTGCTGCACAAGATCGCTCACTAAATTGTATTTTCGAATCAACTTCTGAGACCTGTTCATTGAGAGTAAATGAAAAAGTTGTGTTAACTGCAAATAGGCGAAAGGATGGAAGGTTATTTAAACTGAATTTGAAGTGTGTGCCACCCAATATGTAGCATAATTATTATATTAATCAGATAACAACTTCCAATTTACTACAAGTTTATCATGAGAGGATGGCCCATCAAAATAAACAACATGTAAGTCAGTTGATAGATAAAGAGTTCGACATTAAAGTGGCTCTGGACAAAGAACTTTGCTAAGGATGCATAAATGGTAAAGCAAAAGTTATAGGACAAGATCAAGAGCATCAAAGGCAGGTGAAATTTTTCTGAAGGGCTGCGGCGAGAGAGGTGCCTTCTCACCCTACCGCTGCAGTAGAGGTGGAGTCACGGAGCAAGAAGAGCGTTGGTATGGCGATGCGCCACTCGCCCTATCCTCCGCGACTCTGACGGGTTCGCACCATTTATTGACGCGGTGGTGGTGGGTCTACGGAGGGAAAGGAGTGTCGGTATTGCGAGGCACCGCTCTCCCTATCCTCCGCAACCGAATCATGGTTGGCGGCGGAGCCATACACTAGATCCGCCGCTGGGATCAGGAAAGCTAGTGCTTCTGAGTGTTCATTTTTCCTGATCCCATGGCCTTCACGCATCGAACAGGGCGGCATCTGTTGCGCATGTGAAGTTGGAGGCTGCGGAGGAGGGCGCGCCGTGTATTCTGGTGCGCCGTACCTGAGAAGGAGATGGGGAAGGAATAGTTCCCTCCCGAGGAGGAGCCGCCATGGGGCGGCCAGCACTAGCGGGGCAGCGGATGTGTGCGTTCCCTGAAACACCATGGGGTTTTAGTCGGTGCGAGTCCGACATAAGCCGTCCGAAATAGCAAAAGAACTATGGCTGAAACCGTACAAAATGCTGTTTACATTTAAAATCGGACAGAGCAACGAAGATTGTAGGAAAGTCTCCTCATGAATTGTGGCATGGCAAAAAAGCAGCTATTAAACGTCTGAGATTTATATCATGGAAGGTAAGGTAAGTCAGTACTATGTTCATATTCCTAAACAAAATAGAATGAAAATTGACAAGAAAGTTCAAAAAGGAATCCTGTTAGGTTATGATGGAGGCAATGGACAATGATTATCGAATTTGGAATAAAATAGATCATAAACTTATTCACTCAAGGGACGTTACTTTCCAAGAAGTACCTTTGATAGAATTACATAACCTTCTAACTGATGACGTAAAAACTATACCAAAATGTAATCAGTTTGAATTGCCGGATTTTTCTGCCTCATTTACTGTCCCAAATGATAATTTATTTTATATATATTATCTCGTAGGAGACAATCACGATATAGTATTATTACATGATATAATATGCTACAGGAACACGTGAATATATATGCCTAGAAACACCTACTATTTTTTATATCGGGCGCACAGTACACAATTATTCTCTATCGAAAGATCGGGTGTGTCTTCCGATGTATCCATAAGAAAGGTAAATTGTCTTGGAATCAAAATGTATTATTATTATTTATATTTTACTCTTTAAATTCATTCATAATGAAAGTTAATTTAGTTTTAACAAAATAATGATGAATTTCATGGTCTTGACATAAAATAAAACTAATGTTACGGATTTTTCTCACGCTTAATTTTAACTTTTTTACATGGTTTTTTTTTACGCATCTTTGGATAGAAGAAAGAAAAACCTGCGTAAAAGAACATGTCAACATGTTTAGTATCGTCCTAAGCATTATATTGGATCTGATAGACAACAAACCCTTGTAATAGAACACCTATTCCTACCATCGCAAGGCTATTGAAATTTTAAAAAATACATCCTAATTTTAATAGGGAAGATGGCTGAGTGCTACCATTTGCTAAGGACCCTATAATTAATAAAATAAAATTAAAACCCAATCATACTCCTGCATTTAATCTATTCTATTCTATTCTATTAGTTTTCTATTCTATTCTAACTATGACATCAGTTATCAATTCTCCCGTGACCATGGGTGCTATAAAATGCCCAAAACATCGGGAATTAACAAAGTTAAAATTAAACGCGATAAAATCCTAAAAATTAGTTTTATATCTTATAAATTTTATTCACAGTGAAGGTGAGAAGCACTATACTCATGAACGGGAGTAGAAAAATGTTCGCTTTATTGTGCTGGTGAAAGAGTATCCGCCACATCATATCATCCCGGCAGCATCATCTTTCTGACAAGAGATCAAAATAATAATAGCTGCGGTTGCTACCAAGCGTGGCAACTATAGCAAATATCCAGCTTCTTGACAATTTAGGGAGGCCTGTTCATTTCAGTGGACTTTTGACAGGCTGACGATAATGAGTTCTATTCATCTTTGCAACCCTTAAATTTATGGTAGAGTGAAAACAAAAAAGTAACATACCCGAAACTATGAATTAAATAAAAACTGCATTTTGCCCCATGAAAAGTAAAAAAGTAGCAGCTTACATACATGTTACTACTGGGCACAGGCCGCAGAGATTTTGGCCAAAAAAAAGTTCGCTGCGCTGATTCCATCGCGAGTTGAACTCAACTGGGAAACTTCACAGATATGCAGGTTTTTCTTCAACACCGAGAACGTACGAGTAATGAGTCGACTCTTCAAAATGCAATTCAAATAATATATTATGCTAAAAAAAATCAGGTGTACCTCAAAACTTGAAAACGAGACTGTACGACCAGTGTGTGTTGCCAGTGATGACCTATGTAACTGAGACGTGGTCCTACACTGCTGGCCGTATGAGGAAGCTCAAGGTCGCTCAGCGAGCTATGGAGGGGGTCTTGCTCGGGGTTTCTTTGCGTGATAAACTTAGAAATGAGTATATCCGCAGTAGAACCAGAGCTATCGACATAGCTCAAAGGATTAGTAAGCTGAAGTGGCAATGGGCCGGCCATATAGCTCGAAGAACCGACAACCGATGGAAAAAAAAGGTTCTCGAGTGGCGGCCTCGTACCGGCGGACAAAGTTTAGGGCTTCCCCCCACTAGATGGAGTAACGACTGGTAATGGTAAGATGTGCAGGAATGGTAAGGTATGGACTTGCATTGGTAAGATATGCAGGAAGTCGATGGATGCAGGTGGCTCAGGACCGTGCTTTGTGGCATTCCTTAGGAAACGCCTATGTTCAGCAGTGGACTTGTGAAGGGCTGTAATGATGATGATGATCATTATTCCCAGATGTTCATAGAGGCGCGTGTCTCTGGATGCACTAATCCGTCACCTTAGAGTATACATAAGCATAGTTTGCTTATGCACGATTTTATACTCTAAAAGTACCGTCACCGTATCGCGCAATCTTAAACTCTCTTTTGGGTCGCAGAATATTTTTATTAAAATATTTGTGGCATTTGTGATTACAGTAAGATATTTAGTGGTTAAGAATAATACTTTTATTATTAAATTTGTTTTATACGTGGTAGAGCAGCTATATTAATATGTAGTATAGTTGTAGCACGAATGGGTCGGCTCGACCGGGGAAGGACCACGCTCTAACAGAATACCAGCGTAAAATAGCAGCTTAGTGCTGCTGTGTTTCGTATGGTGAGTGTAGAGAACCGGAGACTCTTTTTACTGTAAAAGAGGCATTTTATCATAGTCCTCACGGGTGACAACGCATCTGCATTTTAATTCGTAAACGAAGATAGACGTAGATGTCTATGGGCCACAGCAACCACTTACCATCAGGTGGACTGTGTGCTCGTTTGTCACCCTTATTCTATAAAAAAATATAGTTTTAGTATAAAAGGTCAAATCTAATTATTAAAATAAGTAATGGATATAATAATATGTTGTCTGTATCGTGAAATTATTATTACTATTATTATAAAACCAAAATTATTTTTAATTCATTATCGAACTCATGTCTAACTTGCTGTTGTTATCCTGATATTATGCTACGAGATCGTGCAAACAGGCAAGTATGCAATAGCATTAGCAATAAGTGTGAAAGAGATAGGGCGCTACTCGGATAACTTCACAATGCTTATTTATTCTGGGACAATGCTTAACAATTGCTAACCTTACGAACGATAATAATCCTTTAATGCACAACATAAAGTTCACTTTTTATTTTTTAATGCTGTTTATTATTTTGTAGTAGCAAGTCGCATATTTGAGACTAAAATATTGTGCTCAATACAATAATATCGATAATAACAGCTAGATATTATCAATTAATATTATAACAGTTACCTTTTGAACCAGACCAAATATCAGACGGCAAACACGTGGAGAAAGAACTCCTCAGACTTACCCTGGGGATCATCACGACCTGTGGTCTCCTCCAGAGCCATTCGCTAGACTGCTTGCTAGACAGAAAGGCAGATTAGGTGTTAAACTAGTGTTACTAATAAAAAAGTATGAATTAGGAGAAAATGAACCCTCGCCCATCTTTCTCATAACAGCTAAACATAATAAAAACGCGCCCAC